TAAATCTAACCCCTAACACTCAATCCATAATCCTAAACCTAACCCCTAACACTCCATCCATAATCCTAAACCTAACCCCTAACCATTTGCCTAAACCTTAACCTAACCAACACCTCAAACCATAGACCTAAATCTAACCTTCAACTCGACCAACAATCCTAAACCTAACCCCTAACACTCAATCCATAATCCTAAACCTAACCCCTAACAATCCATAATCCTAAACCTAACCCCTAACACTCCATCCATAATCCTAAACCTAACCCCTAACAATCCATAATCCTAAACCTAACCCCTAACACTCCATCCATAATCCTAAACCTAACCCCTAACACTCCATCCATAATCCTAAACCTAACCCCTAACACTCCATCCATAATCCTAAACCTAACCCCTAACACTCCATCCATAATCCTAAACCTAACCCCTAACACTCCATCCATAATCCTAAACCTAACCCCTAACAATCCATAATCCTAAACCTAACCCCTAACACTCCATCCATAATCCTAAACCTAACCCCTAACACTCCATCCATAATCCTAAACCTAACCCCTAACACTCCATCCATAATCCTAAACCTAACCCCTAACACTCCATCCATAATCCTAAACCTAACCCCTAACACTCCATCCATAATCCTAAATCTATCCCTCAACCTAACCTTTAATCCTCAACCTATCTCCTGCCCTTCCAATAGTCATAATGTTTCATAATTTTTGCAGCAAAAGGCAGGAGAAGAAAACAAATATATGAAATGACCTTTCATTGGACGAATCCTGGAACCCAGTGGAGTAGTAGAAGTGTGGAGTAGAAGCAGGGCTCAGACACACCGTATCATTACACTGGGCTGTGACAATTCTCCAGCTGTTCTTCTGCGGTTATTATTCTAAGATTCTACCTTATATGTTCATAATCCCTTCCTGAAATATTTACAAATGCCTATTTCATGCAATACGAGTCTTCCTGGTAACAGAACGGTTGTTTTGGAAACTCTGGGGGGAGAACGAGGTGCACTTAGAGGTCCTCATAGATGCTATAATATATAGTGCGTCATATAGACCTCTTGGAAAAAGAACAAAACAATCTATCAAGCGCTTTCTTCTGCACTAAGGGATTTGGATTTGTTTGTTGGAGGCTCAGGAAAGGGGCCTGCACTCTTTAACCCATTCCTGCTAAGCATGGGTCGGTCACCCTTAGGCTCATTGAGGAGGTATGGGCACAGGATCTTACCCTGGACGCCATGTAAGAGGCACTCCCAGGAGTGCCCTAGCCTGGCCTGGCCAGGCCAGCACAACCCAGTAGCCTATTTCATATCTTCCTCAGACCCTGAGGCAACCAAATCCTGGCCAGCATCAGTTGGTTCCCCCTATACTCACTGAGGTGGTATGGGCTCAGGATCTTTCCCTGGACTCCATGTAAGAGGCACCCCCAGGTGGCCTCTGGCATGGCCAGATTAGCACAGTTCAGTAGCCTTTTTCATACTTTCCTCCTGCCTAGTGATCCAATTCTTCCCAGCATCAGTTAGTTACCCCTAGACTCACTAGGGCACTATGGGCATGGCATCTTTCTCTGGATCCTATGTAAGAGGCACCCCCAGGAGACCTATGGCCTGGCCAGACCAGTACAGCCCAATAGCCTGTTTCATACTTTCCTCAGGCTTTAAGGCAAACCAATCCTAGCCAGCATCAGTTGGTTCCCCCTAGACTCATTGAGGTGCTCTGGGCGCAAGAGCACCCAGTAGTCTGTTTCATGCTTTAGGCCTTACAACAACCCATTCCTGGCCAGCATTAGTTGGTCCCCCCTAGACTCACTGGGGAACTATGAGCATGCGGTCTCTCCCTTGTAAGAGACACTTCCCAGGAGGCCCGTGGCCTGGTCTGTCCAGCACCACCCAGTAGCCCATTCCATACCTTGATCAGCTTATGGCAATGGACCCAGCAACACCCCTTCCACAAGATATTCCCATTATGGTGTTAGGAGAAGGAAGAGCCTCTACAACTCTACTGGAGCACAGTTGTACATATTTCCATGCTTTCAGCCATCCTAATGGTGACGGCACGTTCCTTCAGTTGCAAACAAATAACAGAAAAGCAGAGAGCCAAGTCGAGGAGCAGCCCACACGCTTGAGGGGTTTGCCAAAGTTCTACATCCCATATCCAGGGGATGTGAGAAGTCCTGTACCTCTCGTTGTTTGCTAAGCTCCTAAGATTTTATCTTTGCTGGTTTGGGTCTGGACTGCTTCCCATGACCAACTAACCACAAATGGCCATTTGCAAGACTATTTGTACAGACGCCCCACACTGGCAGGGGCAGGACTAGGAACTTCTTTGGTGTCTACGGTACACCCCACTCACTAATCTGGGGACCTCTAGCATCTACTTAGGTACTTACTGCCTAAACTTACTACAGGGTTCCCAAATCTAACTATGGTAACATCTATTTATGACATAAATATGGGTGTAACATGGCACAGAGGGTGGAGTTAGCCTTTAAGAGCTAGTTGTAACCTGTACTATTATTGCTGATAAGTTGAACCATATTCTGGTCTCTCCTGGGACCATTGACTAAGTAGGGTGTTTTGGTAAAATGGGGATCCCATTCAGCTCTGTTCACTGCACAGGCTATGTACAGCACAGTGATGATTTCACTGTTACATTTAGACGGTAATATCTGGAATTGTAAAGGCATTTGATGCACATAAAGTAGATTTATATCTTTTGTGGTGATTGAGGAATATACTTAATTGAAAGTTTTTGTGTCTAGAGTTGCGCTTTAACCCTCCCACTCTTTTCTTTGACGTCATATAAACAGAAAATCATTGCATGCCACCTGTCCTCCGCCCACTCATACAGCGCAGTCTGTACTTCACAACGTTCCTATTCTTGCCATAATCTGGCTCGCCAACTGCCCATAAAAATACATAAAATGTGGTCTGTCTCATCCTCTGTCTGAGGAACGTCTTCTGCATTCACAACACCAATCAAATGAAGGTGTTCCATGTTCTGCTAACAAATTGAAATATATAACATTTCTACACTAAAGTTTTTTTACCCTCGTCCTGGAAAAGAAGGGCCCCATCCAGGCCTGGTTTACTATCTGGGATGAAAAGCCTCACCCTGGCCTGGTTTACTGTCTGCGACAAAGGGCCCCATCCTGGCTTGGTGTGTACCCTGTGAGATAAAGGGCCCCATCCTGGCTTGGTGTACCCTGTGAGATAAAGGGCCTCATCCTGGCCTGGTGCACCCTGTGAGATGAAAGACCCCACCCCGGCCTGTTGCACCCTGTGAGATGAAAGACCCCACCCCGGCCTGGTGTACCTTGTAAGATAAAGGGCCCTATCGCGGCCTGGTGTACCCTGTGAGATAAAAGGCCCCACCCCAGCCTGGGGTACCCTGTAAGGTGAAGGGCCCCATCCGAGCCTGCTGTACCCTATAAGAATAAAGGCCCCACCCCGGCCTGGTGTACCCTGTGAGATGAAGGGCTCCATCTAGGCCCGGTGTACCATGTGAGATGAAGGGCTCCATCTAGGCCTGGTTTACCCTGTGGGATGAAGGGCCCCATCCAAGCATGGTGTACCCTGTGAAATAAAGGGCCTCATCCTGGCCTGATGTACCCTGTGAGATGAAGGGCTCCATCCCGGCCAGGTGTTCCCTATGAGAAGAAGGGCTCCATCCCAACTTGGTGTACCCTGTGAGATGAAGGGCTCCATCCGAGCCAGGTGTTCCCTGTGAGATGAAGGGCTCTGTCCCGGCCTGGTGTACTTTGTGAGATGAGGGGCCCAATCCTGGCCTGGTGTACCTTGTGAGATGAGGGGCCCAATCCCGGCCTGGTGTACCTTGTGAGATGAGGGGCCCAATCCCGGCCTGGTGTACCTTGTGAGATGAGGGGCCCAATCCCGGCCTGGTGTACCTTGTGAGATGAGGGGGGCCCATATCCTGGCCTGGTGTACCTTGTGAGATGAGGGGCCCCATCCCGGCCTGGTGTACCCTGTGAGATGAGTGGCTCCATCCCGGCCTGGTGTACCTTGTGAGATGAGGAGCCCCATCCCGGCCTGGTGTACCCTGTGAGATGAATGGCTCCATCCCAGACTGGTGTACCCTGTGAGATGAATGGCTCCATCCTGGCCTTGTGTACCGTGTGAGATGAGGGGCGCCAGCCAGGCCTGGTGTACCCTGTGAGATGAGGGGCCCCATCCCGGCCTGGTGTACCCTGTGAGATGAGGGGGCCCCCATCCCGGCCTGGTGTACCCTGTGAGATGAATGGCTCCATCCCGGCCTGGTGTACCTTTTGAGATGAATGGCTCCATCCGGGCCTGGTGAACCATGTGAGATGAGGGGCCCCATCCCGGCCTGGTGTACCCTGTGAGATGAGGGGCCCCATCCCGGCCTGGTGTACCCTGTGAGATGAGGGGCTCCATCCCGGCCTGGTGTACCTTTTGAGATGAATGGCTCCATCCCGGCCTGGTGTACCTTTTGAGATGAATGGCTCCATCCGGGCCTGGTGAACCATGTGAGATGAGGGGCCCCATCCCGGCCTGGTGTACCCTGTGAGATGAGGGCCCCATCCTGGCCTGGTGTACCCTGTGGAATGACCTGTTTACAAGTACAATACACTTGATAATCATAATATTAACAAATGTAGGTGATCCTGGTGGGGGCCCCCCCCGGCCTGACGCAAGTCCTTAAGCCAGTACAAGGGAGATGTCTATCAGGGAATCTAGAAGATGGGAGGTGAGTGCTCTGAAAACCCTTCACACTTCAGACGTGCGTCACGCTGCTCCCCGACCAATTCCAGCCGTGTCCACGTGTTGTGGAAAATCCATGTTTACTTCTGTCCATAACAATGTGTCCCCCGACTCCTTCCCGTGACCCCACCATTTGTTCACTAGACACTAAGCAGCCCATTTATAAAGCTGTGACATTCACCAAACTTTCTCCGCAGGTGAATCAGTCACAGTCAAAGAAAACATATATACCAGGAAGATACACCTGCAGTGAATGTTTGGTGAATGTCACATTTACTGCTTTATAAATATACCTCTAAGGGCTCAGTCACACCAGCCCACCCCACTTCTCCTGTCCTGGATGCCGGGTGTCATTCTTGGTATCTGTCCTTCTTCTGTATGTATGGACTCTGCACAGTCCCACTTCTCCTGTCCTGGATGCCGGGTGTCATTCTTGGTATCTGTCCCCTTCTGTATGTATGGACTCTGCACAGTCCCACTTCTCCTGTCCCGGATGCCGGGTGTCATTCTTGGTATCTGTCCTTCTTCTGTATGTATGGACTCTGCACAGTCCCACTTCTCCTGTCCCGGATGCCGGGTGTCATTCTCGGTATCTGTCCCCATTCTGTATGTATGGACTCTGCACAGTCCCACTTCTCCTGTCCCGGATGCCGGGTGTCATTCTCGGTATCTGTATGTATGGACTCTGCAGTCCCACTTCTCCTGTCCCGGATGCCGGGTGTCATTCTCGGTATCTGTCCTCATTCTGTATGTATGGACTCTGCACAGTCCCACTTCTCCTGTCCTGGATGCCGGGTGTCATTCTCGGTATCTGTCCTTCTTCTGTATGTATGGACTCTGCACAGTCCCACTTCTCCTGTCCTGGATGCCGGGTGTCATTCTCGGTATCTGTCCTTCTTCTGTATGTATGGACTCTGCACAGTCCCACTTCTCCTGTCCCGGATGCCGGGTGTCAATTCTTGGTATCTGTCCCCTTCTGTATGTATGGACTCTGCACAGTCCCACTTCTCCTGTCCCGGATGCCGGTTGTCATTCTTGGTATCTGTCCTTCTTCTGTATGTATGGACTCTGCACAGTCCCACTTCTCCTGTCCCGGATGCCGGTTGTAATTCTTGGTATCTGTCCTTCTTCTGTATGTATGGACTCTGCACAGTCCCACTTCTCCTGTCCCGGATGTCGGGTGTCATTCTCGGTATCTGTCCTTCTTCTGTATGTATGGACTCTGCACAGACCCACTTCTCCTGTCCCGGATGCCGGTTGTCATTCTTGGTATCTGTCCTTCTTCTGTATGTATGGACTCTGCACAGTCCCACTTCTCCTGTCCCGGATGCCGGGTGTCATTCTTGGTATCTGTCCTTCTTCTGTATGTATGGACCCTGCACAGCCCCACTTCTCCTGTCCCGGATGCCGGGTGTCATTCTTGGTATCGGTCCCTATTCTGTATGTATGGACCCTGCAGAGCCCCACTTCTCCTGTCCCGGATGCCGGGTGTCATTCTTGGTATCGGTCCCTATTCTGTATGTATGGACCCTGCAGAGCCCCACTTCTCCTGTCCCGGATGCCGGGTGTCATTCTTGGTATCTCCTCCCTATTCTGTATGTATGGACCCTGCAGAGTCCCCACTTCTCCTGTCCCGGATGCCGGGGGTGTCATTCTTGGTATCTGTCCCTATTCTGTATGTATGGACCTGCACAGTCCCCACTTCTCCTGTCCCGGATGCCGGGTGTCATTCTTGGTATCGGTCCCTATTCTGTATGTATGGACCCTGCAGAGCCCACTTCTCCTGTCCCGGATGCCGGGTGTCATTCTTGGTATCGGTCCCTATTCTGTATGTATGGACCCTGCAGAGCCCCACTTCTCCTGTCCCGGATGCCGGGTGTCATTCTCGGTATCAGTGTCTGTTCTGTATGTATGGACCCTGCAGAGCCCCACTTCTCCTGTCCTGATGCCGGGTGTCATTCTCGGTATCGGTGTCTGTTCTGTACATCGGGGTATTTTTGTAGTGCGTCTCTCATAGTTCTTGGGTAATTGTTCGATGTTGGTCTGCAGTAGATCAGGCCGTCTTTACTAGCATATGATATGAATAATTGGTTGTGTCCTTTAAAGGTTAGACAATGTTATTACTCAGCCTGACAGACTTGTCCTCGATCGACCTCCCACCACACATGTTCTCCAAAGTGTCAGAAGCCAAATGGAAAAAGATAAAACGTATTTCTGTATCTGATAGGTGTGTTATGGGGTTGCCCCCTTCGGGGAGACGTCCGCTGGGAAGGTCCGCACACCTAGGCAGGTATACATTGTGTATTTCATGTGTGAGGGGTGTCAGTGATACCTGGTGATTTGTATTATCATTTCTCTGTTTGTTATGATTCCTTCCTCATTTCCTTGTACTCATCATGCAGTAAAATAGCCTCCGATGGAAGCTGCTGCTCTCGGCCTACAGAGCTGCCTCTTATTTCAAGGCAATAACACTTAATAGGTTGAACTTCACAGCCGTGTAATTGCACACAGCACAGGAGTCAGTAAATATCGACCTTGGGTGGATGGATGCTCCGTTTACTCGTTATGGGGATTTGGATGGAAGTGTTTTTGGAGGAATCCAGTGCAGGTAATGGACCCGGGGGGGGGGTGGGTTTGAACGTACGTCCACCAGTACCACAAATGGGGCGCCGTGTCACTGAAATATTTCTTATTCCTTTTGCTGGGATTACAACAAAGCTCCGTGTGTGGTGTTAACGACTCCATAGAAGATGCTGACGATGTGTTAATGACTTCACGCCGTACTGTAATCATCAGCCTGCTTCATCCTATGGACCAGCTGCTTCCCGCACCACACTCCTCAGATTCCTTCCTGAAATCCCCCATTGGTTCCAGAACATATGGAGCCGGCCTGTTCCCCCATCTGTGCCGCTCACACTCCTCTCCATCACTTCTCCCCAAAACACAACTTTTCTTTGTCTCGCCAATGTCCCTGCACGCTGCACACTCCAGGTGGACGCCACCATGGAGGCATCATTTGTGGCGGCTCGAGACATTTCTGTACTGATAACTAATTCTCTGACATTCAGAATGGAGGAATTCTATTGTAACCGGAGATTCAGAGAAATCTGAGATTCACTCAGAGGACACATTGACGTCAGCTCTGCATATTTCTAGGTCAGAAATGGAACATTTGCCAAATTCCTTTGCCAGGAGAGATGCTGAGCTGAGTAGCAATGAGAGGAGGAGAGAGATGCTGGGATCAGAGCGAGGAGGAGAGATGCTGGGATCAGAGCGAGGAGGAGAGAGATGCTGGGATCAGAGCGAGGAGGAGGAGAGATGCTGGGATCAGAGCGAGGAGGAGAGATGCTGGGATCAGAGCGAGGAGGAGGATGGGATCAGAGCGAGGAGAGCGAGGAGGAGAGATGGGGGATCAGAGCGAGGAGGAGAGAGATGCTGGGATCAGAGCGAGGAGGAGAGATGCTGGGATCAGAGCGAGGAGGAGAGATGCTGGGATCAGAGCGAGGAGGAGAGATGCTGGGATCAGAGCGAGGCGGAGGAGAGATGCTGGGATCAGAGCGAGGAGGAGGAGAGATGATGGGATCAGAGCGAGGAGGAGAGATGGTGGGATCAGAGCGAGGAGGAGAGATGCTGGGATCAGAGCGAGGAGGAGAGATGCTGGGATCAGAGCGAGGAGGAGAGATGGTGGGATCAGAGCGAGGAGGAGAGATGCTGCTGGGATCAGAGCGAGGAGGAGAGATGATGGGGATCAGAGCGAGGAGGAGAGAGAGATGCTGGCGAGGAGGAGATCAGAGCAGGATGCTGGGATCAGAGCGAGGAGGAGAGATGCTGGATCAGAGCGAGGAGGAGAGATGCTGGGATCAGAGCGAGCGAGGAGGAGAGATGCTGGGATCAGAGCGAGGAGGAGAGATGCTGGGATCAGAGCGAGGAGGAGAGAGATGCCGGGATCAGAGCGAGGAGGAGAGATGATGGGATCAGAGCGAGGAGGAGAGATGCTGGGATCAGAGCGAGGAGGAGAGATGGGGAGAGATGGAGGAGAGATGGGATCAGAGCGAGGAGGAGAGATGATGGGATCAGAGCGAGGAGGAGAGATGATGGGATCAGAGCGAGGAGGAGAGATGATGGGATCAGAGCGAGGAGGAGAGATGCCGGGATCAGAGCGAGGAGGAGGAGAGATGATGGGATCAGAGCGAGGAGGAGAGATGCTGGGATCAGAGAGAGGAGAGGAGGAGAGATGCTGGGATCAGAGCGAGGAGGAGAGATGCCGGGATCAGAGCGAGGAGGAGAGATGCCGGGATCAGAGCGTGGAGGAGAGATGCTGGAGGATCAGAGTTAGGGAGGAGGAGAGATGATGGGGATCAGAGCGAGGAGGAGAGATGATGGGATCAGAGCGAGGAGGAGAGATGAGGATCAGAGCGAGGAGGAGAGATGATGCCGGGATCAGAGCGAGGAGGAGAGATGCCGGGATCAGAGCGAGGAGGAGAGATGCCGGGATCAGAGCGAGGAGGAGGAGAGATGCCGGGGATCAGAGCGAGCGAGGAGGAGAGATGCCGGGATCAGAGCGAGGAGGAGAGATGCCGGGATCAGAGCGAGGAGGAGAGATGGGGATCAGAGCGAGGGATCTGATCAGAGCGAGGAGGAGAGATGCCGGGATCAGAGCGAGGAGGAGAGATGCGAGGGATCATAGCGAGGAGGAGAGATGCCGGGATCATAGCGAGGAGGAGAGATGCCGGGGGAGATGCTCAGAGCGAGGAGGAGAGATGCCGGGGATCAGAGCGAGGAGGAGAGATGCCGGGATCAGAGCGAGGAGGAGAGATGCCGGGATCAGAGCGAGGAGGAGAGATGCCGGGATCAGAGCGAGGAGGAGAGATGCGGGATCAGAGCGAGGAGGAGAGATGCCGGGATCAGAGCGAGGAGGAGAGGAGCGAGGAGGAGAGATGCCGGGATCAGAGCGAGCTCAGGAGGAGAGATGCCGGGATCAGAGCGAGGAGGAGAGATGCCGGGATCAGAGCGAGGAGGAGAGATGCCGGGATCAGAGCGAGCGAGGAGGAGAGAGATGCCGGGATCAGAGCGAGGAGGAGAGAGATGCCGGGATCAGAGCGAGGAGGAGAGATGCTGGGATCAGAGCGAGGAGAGAGATGATAGGAGATGCTGGGATCATGCGAGGAGGAGATCAGAGGAGGAGGAGAGATGCTGGGATCAGAGCGAGGAGGAGAGATGCTGGGATCAGAGCGAGGAGGAGAGATGCTGATGAGCGAGGAGGAGAGATGCTGGGATCATAGCGAGGAGGAGAGAGGGATGCTGGGATCAGAGCGAGGAGGAGAGATGCTGGGATCAGATCAGCGAGGAGGAGAGATGCCGGGATCAGAGCGAGGAGAGAGAGATGCCGGGATCAGAGCGAGGAGGAGAGATGATGCCGGGATCAGAGCGAGGAGGAGAGATGCCGGAGCGAGATGGGGATCAGAGCGAGAGGAGAGATGCCGGGATCAGAGCGAGGAGGAGAGATGCCGGGATCAGAGAGGAGGAGGAGAGATGCTGGGGAGAGATGCTTGGGATCAGAGCGAGGAGGAGAGATGCTGGGATCAGAGCGAGGAGGAGAGATGTGGGGGATCAGAGCGAGGAGGAGAGATGCCGGGATCAGAGCGAGGAGGAGAGATGGGATCAGAGCGGGATCAGAGCGAGGAGGAGAGATGCTCAGGGATCTGAGCGAGGAGGAGAATTGCTGATCTCAGAGTGCCGGGATCAGAGGAGGAGGAGATGCCGGGATCAGAGCGAAGGAGAGATGCTGATCAGAGTTAGGAGTGTCCGTGTTGTCATTGTTCTGACCCCCAAGTGTCCGTGTGTCATTGTTCTGGACCCCCAAGTGTCTGGTGTGTCATTGTTCTGGGAGGAGAGTGCCCAAGCGAGGTCAGGAGTGTCATTGTTCTGAGACCCCCAAGTGTCAGGGTGTCATTGTTCTGAGACCCCAAGTGTCAGTTTGTCATTGTTCTGGACCCCCAAGTGTCCGTGTGTCCATTG